AAAACAAATACATGGAGGAGGAGGATTACACCCTCTCATACTCAACTCTCAACTCTCTTTGCTACACTTGCAGCTGCGGCAATGGCAGCAAGGCTGCTGCCATTGCAACTCTCTCTTTCTCTCAACTCTCTTCACATTCTCACAAAACTCTTCACATTTTCCTTTCTAAAATCATGCCTCTTTTATAGACATCCATGAAGGCTCTTCTTGCTTTGTTGTCAATATTGGTGGCCACCAACTCTTGCTCATTCAAATTATGCTCATTAAGCTAGAGCCAGGAATAAGCATGCCCCACCCTGACATGGAAATTGTTGAAAAAATGTTGTACAACATTGATGATGCTTTGGCTGACGTTGATGTCAGAGGGGGTGGTGTCTTTAAGGCATTGACAGCAGCTAGATTTCCTTTTCTTGAAGAAGCATGCTTAAGCGTTAACCATGTGAAAATGGAAGCTAATGCCATGTACTCGCCATCATACACTGTCGACGGCACATTTCAAGTTTTTTATGTTGCTAGAGGCACCGGCCGCGTCCAGGTTGTGGGGACTGGTGGTAAGCGTGTCCTGGACACCAAAATACAGGCTGGTCAATTACTTGTTGTGCCAAGATTCTTCGCGGTTGCTCAGATTGCTGACGGTGAAGGAATGGAGTTTGTTTCCATTCTCCCTGGTACAAGGTAATTACAATTTCTGTTGGAAAATTAAATAAATATATTGGTTTTAAAAACCATATATTGAATTAATCCCTGTATTTCTTATACATGTTTATAATTCAATCCAGTAAGATTCTTGAAGAGTTTGAATTATTGTTAATGTTTTTTTTTCCTCTTGGCAGCCCGGCTGTTGAAGAGTTTGCGAGCAAGAAATCAGTGTGGAATCCTTTATCTCCAATAGTTTCACAAGTTTCTCTAAGCGTGACTCTAGAGTTTGAGGAATTTTTCAGGTCCAATATGCAAAAGACCACTATTCTTGTCCCGCCCACTAATTAAATATGAAAAATTAATATTAATGTTTGTGTACGAGCATCTCCCCTTATGGTTGATCAAGTTGTAATGAATAATATGTTGAGGTGCTAGATAGCACCATCAGCAAGGGTGGAACGACCATATAAAATTAATAATATAGATGATATTTGAGAATATTAATTATGACTTCTGAGGATTGTACTAGAACGGTCTCTCATTTAATTACTTTTGAAACTCGAGTAAGATGTCGAAATCTCCATGCAATTATTGATGGACTTTGGTATCTGTCGGAAAAGCTTAAATCCAATTTATAAAATTTAATTAAAAAATATTATTTTGATATATTTTTAAATAAAAAATACTTTATATCATAATATTAAATACATATAATTTAAGTATTATTTTTGCCTAACCATTGTATAAGAAAATATTTGGCTTTGATAGTTATATCTTTTTATTATTCTATCCTACATCAATTAGCAAGACCATAAGATGATTTCTATTAATGGACATTAAATTGATATAGGACATGGTAGTAGCTGTTATGGTGATATCAAAACCAGCTAGGCATAAAAACAAATAAGTCACCATTGAACTTTATAGTAATTAGAAAATGCTAATTATAAAGCTTGTTATGAGATGAAAAAGATACCAATTATCTTGTTTATTTTATTTAAAATAAATTATATTGTTATGCTAGTTTTAATGATGAATATTAAATAAGCTCATATGCTAAGAGTTTATCTAAATTTTTATGTGTGTGTATGTGTGTTGTAGACACACATACACAAGTTTAGACAAACTCTTAGCATGTGAGCTATATATACTATGCGTGTATGTTTATTGTTAAAGGTAAAAATAAAAATAATAATACTAATCTAAAAGGGTGTTTTAGGAACTCAGTTTAACAACGAGGCTCCATCCTTATTTTTGAAATGCAAGCGTTGAACTTGTAAGGATGGTGAAAAAATAATAGACAAAAGCCTATTTAAAATTATATTGATTAAAATAAATAAAAAATTACTATTTATATTTAATTGATCTATGTGGAATCACACCAACCGAGTACGGGTGTCCCAAAAAAATAACACATTCAAGAATATACTCAAATAAACACTAACATAAACATAAAAAAAAATTCAAATGACAGATAAATATTTATAAAAATAATACTTACAATAAAAAAATAATGTTAAGGTAACACTATATGATCCAATTGAGACATTATAGAATAGGCTAAACCAATCTTGATATCTTTTTGAGCAAAAGCTAAAGTAGCTCCTAATACTACTATTATTGTACCTATCAAAGTTATTAGTTTTATTATGTAAGGTATAACTATGGAAAGAGAAAGAAGTCAAACTATAAGAAAAATTCTTTTTCTTGACATTTATAAAGTGGTTAAGTTATGAAATTATATGTGGTCTAATCTCAAATTATGATGAGTAAAGTTAAGGATGGTTGGATCTTAATGACATGTTTCTTAGAATAACATATTTATTGAGTTGTCGATGACTTAGTATCAATATTTTTAGGGGGAAATCTGTTAGGATTTTAGGAAAATATATTTAAATTTTTTTCCTAATTTTTTATTTATCTATAATGGTAAATGTGTTGCTATATGTTTTAAAAATTAGGTATGTTACAAGACAATTCTGTAAAAAATAAATTATAAATTTTAATAACAAGTAAATTCAATTTTGAAGGATGAGTGTTTTTTTTCTTAAAAAAACTAAGTTTATTTAAAAAATAAAGATCCAAAAAACTTTTAGGACTAAAATAAAAAAGGCCTTGATATTTTACTGCTCTTTACCACAACTGAAATGAAAAAACCTTTTAATATATATTATCAGTGGATTAATGGCTATGCAGTGACGGAGCTTAACTACTTTTTAAGAGATGGTGAAACCGAATATGATGTAAACTTCACTCATAATCACAAAACTACAATATATTATCAAATAAATTATAAAATAGATATAAAAATTATATACTATAAATAAATGTACAAATATAATGTGTAAAATATATGAAATTGCATAATGCATTATTATTAATTGAATATTAACATTAAAATATGTATTTTATTGTAAATTTTGGTATCACTAAGTAGAAAAGAATTCGGTAATTCATTTTAAAAACATAAAATATAATTAAAAAAATCATAGACATAAATAATCTAAAATACAAAATACACTTCAATAATTAAAAATTAAATAGAATTAGAAACTAAATAAGAAACATAACTTTTCATGAATACTAGGTGGCCATTTTTTCCTAGACTTAAACATGAGAGGTGATATCCATACTCCTCTCATGTTATTATTATTAGTATATATAGTACATAGTTAATTGTTTGATTATATCGTAGCATTGATTTTATTTATATAAAATATATTTATTGTTAATAAATATATTTTTTTATCTTTAATATTTATTTAAGTTTGATTAATGAGTTTAGAGTAAAGACTATATCTTTGAGACCGAAATGTTTTGTAAGAAAAATGAGAGAGTTGTTATAATTATGATATGTTTATAGCTTTAAGTTGCTCATTGATATTCTATTAAGATTGAGCATTAATTATAGTAATTGAAACCGAAACATATTATATTATTTTCTTATAAAAGGAAGCAATTGTTTTTATAAGTTGTGATATACTTGAAACTAATATGTAAGTGCTTGTTAGATGATAAATATATCACTTATTTTTGTGAAAAGGCTCATATAACAATTGTATAAGTAATCACAGACTTGAGATCACTAAGTTATATTATATAGAGAATATTATGCTTTGATCATGACTACACTTTCTCTTAATCAATGGTAACAAATGGAAACATTTAAGTATATTATGAACTATATACAAGTATTTGAGTGTTTAAGAAAGAATTCATCACCTTAAATGAATTAAAAAAAATGATATCGAGTAATATTGATTATAAGATATTTGTGTAAGGTGGAATATAATTTGAAAAGAGTTTGAAATTTTATTTAAAGAATTAATGACTATAGTGTTGAGAATAAACATAATGTGACAAAGTAGATGCATTCCATGCTATAAGAAACCTAAAAGGGATTAGGGTTTCACGGTAGCTTTAAACTTATTATACTATGGATTGAAGCAATGTAATGATCATGTTGTCATTTCAAAAAAATTAATGAACTTGTTATTTGGGGTAATAAAGTCTTTTTAAACAGTTCATTAGTTATTATTATATTAATTAGGGATAATTTGGTCTTCTAGATTCTTTAAAGCATGGTGAAATGACTAAAGTACCTTTTGCAGTGAAAAATTTTAAACTAGCATTCAATGGTTCCTTTTTAAATTATTTTTAGATTTTTTTTAAATTTTTTTTTTTGAAATATCATCCTTCAATAATTGGTTTATTGAAAAGTGATGTTCATGCTTTCCTCCCTACTTTTCTTTATCCCAATCTTATGCCTAGGGGTGTTCACAGTTCGGTTCGGTTCAGTTTGGACTAAAAAAACCAAACGAACCAGATTATTTGGAAACCGGTTCAAACCGAACCGGTCCGGTTAAATCCAGTTTTTTTAGGAAAAAACCGGAAACCTAATTCCATCATATATGAGTTTTTTGTTTTTAATTGACTTAGCCTTACATTTAATTAACCTTTAAAATTCAAAGCAAAATGATGTTCAGCTTAAAAATTTACATCCTGTGTAGTAGTTTTTCAACAACAACAAGACAACTCTATTCTTTTCTATACATGGCTGACAGGGCAAGCCAAAAGCAACAACAATGCAAGTTCTGAAAGCTGAGATGGACCACAAACAACGGTGATACCTGAGGAAGATAAAAAGAAAACAGAAAATAAAAAGGAATTAAAAAGGCCCAAGCCTTGCGAAGCCAGTGGCAACAAAAGTCAGAGAAGCATCAAAGTTTGAAACAAAAAGTTGAACTTACAAGCACATGAAAATAAACTTTACAACTTTACCTTGCCGCTTTTTCTCTAATAGAGGAGCCCTCTCTTTCTGCTGCAAGTGAAAAGAGAAGCCAACGGGTTTTGTTCAGGTTTTTGTTCGGCTGCAAGCAGACTAAATGGATGTGGAGATGTAGGTTATTGACTTATTGTTTGGGTAGAGAAGAGACAGATGCAAGATGCAGGGGTCAAGAGCAAGACGCAGGGAAGATGAAAATTAAAGGGACAAGAGTCAATATGCAGGGTAGAGGGCAAGAGCAAGACAGATGCAGAAGGGAGAAGAGGGAGGATGAAAATTGAAGGGTGGCGGCTTCAGAATGTCAATTAGGGTTAGGCAACTTAGTGATTTACTCTTTATTTATACTACCGGTTTGGTTCACTGGTTTAAGTGGTCAAATCGGAACCGAACCGAACAGAACTGGCAAGATTTTATAGTTTTAAAAATCGGTTTAATCTGTTTTTTTTTATCTCGGTTCAGTTTTTTCTCAGTTAATTTTTTATCGGTTCTCTTGGTTTTTTTGGTTAATCGGTTTTTTTGAACACCCCTACTTATGCCTACAGTCTTGAGGTCAGCGTGTTAACCTGTGCCGACTTAGATGTTTTCACCTTTTAATATCAAAATATTTGATACTTGAACTTCATAGTTTTATTTATTTTTTTTCAATAGGTTTACCTCGATATCATGACTATGCCACAAAATTTGCATGTTAACTCAAATAGACTCAGATTGAGTTTTTTAAACCTTTTTTACATTATTAATTTTTTTATTGTATTTTTTATTCATATTATTTAAATCACTCAAGCTCATTGATCACATCAATAACACGAGTCTTAAATTGCTTTTCTTGTTTAGGAACACTTGTATCGCCTTAGCATTTTTTTACAATAGGAAAAAATTGGATTGGCGTGCGGCGTAGCATGAGCCACCTATAAAGTAATGTCTAAATGAAAATGTTTTTGACAATGAGATAACAATTACACTGAAAAACTAGTCACTAAAAGATGAAGTCAAATTACACATGACTTTTTTAATATCTTAATAATCATGACACTGATGCTCTTGATCTTCAAATGTAAACAATTAATTATTTAATGAATAATAAATTAAGTTTTTAAATTTATTTAATTCTATTTTGATTAAAATAATGTATTTAGGCTAACATATTAAGAGTTTAATGAGTCACGCACACATTAAATAT